GCATTCACAGTTAAATTTTACCAGACCTACAAAGAAGCATTGGTATCCTTTGTGCAGAAATTATTCCATAACATCAAGAAAGAGGGAATCCTCCCCAACACATTCTATGAAGTCAGTATCACCTCAATACTAAAGCAAGGAAAGGACACAACAACAAAAGAGAAAACTACAGACCAATATCCCTTATGAATATAGATATTAAAAAAATCTCAAAAAAATACTAGCAAATGAAATTCAACAACACATCAAAAAAAATTCCACCACACCAGTGGGCTTCATCCCAGGGATGCAAGGATGGTTCAATATATGTTAGTCAATGAAGTGATTTGCATATAATCAGAAGAATAAACAAAGATCATATGATCATCTAAATAGACATAGAAAAAGCATTCCAACAAAATGCAGCATGCTTTCATGATAAAAACCCTCAACAAACTAAGCATACAAGGAACATATCACAAAATTATAAAAGCCATATATACAAACCCACAGCCCACATCATACTGAATGGGAAAAATTGAAAGCATTCCCACTAAGTTCCACTAAGAACTGGACCAAAACAAGGATGTTCACTGTCACCACTTCTAGTCAACACAGTGCTGGAAGTCCTACCTAGAGCAATCAGGTAAGAGAAACAAATTAAGGATATTCGAATTATGAAAGAGGAGGTCAAACTATTGCTTTTTATAGACAATATGATGTTATATCTACAAAACCCCAAAGATTCCACCAAGAGACTCCGGGAATTGATAAATAAATTAAGCAAAGTCTCAGTTTACAAAATCAGTATACACAAATCAGTAGCATTCCTATACACTGATAACAGTCAAGTTGAGAATCCAAAGACTCAATACCATTCACAACTGCTGCAAAGAAAATGAAATACCTAGAAATATACTTAACCAAGGAGGTGAAAGATCTCTACAAAGAGAACTACTAAGAAATTGCAGATGATACAAAAAAGTGGAAAAACATATCATGCTCATGGATTAGAATAATCAACATTGTTAAAATGTCCATTTTACCCAGTGTGATTTACAGATTCAATGCAATCCCCATAAAAATACCAATGTCATATTTTGCAGTTCTAGAAAAAAATGATTCTATGCTTTGTGTGGAACCAGAAAAGAACTGAAATAGCCAAAGCAATCTAAAGCAAAAGGAGCAAATTGAGAAGTATCATATTACCAGATAATATTACCATATTATCATATTCAAACTATACTACTGTGGTTGGTTGCAACTATAGTAACCAAAACAACATGGGACTGTCACAAAAATAGAGACATAGACCAATGAAGCAGGACAGAAAACCCAGATATAAGACTGTCCCCATAGAGCCAACTGATCTTTGGAAAGCAGATGACAATATACACAGGGGAAAAGAATACCTATTCAATATATGGAACTAGGGAAATTGGATAGCCACATGCAGAAGAATGAAACAGGACTCACATCTCTCACCATTCACAAAAAAATTCAATATGGATAAAGGACTTAAATGTAAGGCTTAAAACCATAAGAATTCTATAAGAAAATGTAGGAAAATCTTTTCTGGATATCAGCCTAGGCAAAGAATTTATGAAGAAGACCTCAATGGCAATCACAGTAACAATAAAAATAAGTAAATAAATTGGATTTAATTAAATTAAAAAGCTTCCACATAGCCAAGGAAGTAACTAAGAGAATAGACCTACAGAATAGAATAAAAATATTCTCAAGGTATACATCCAATAAAGAACTAATAACTAGAATCTACAAAGAACTCAAGCAAATCAGGAAGAAAAAAATCAAAGAACCCCATTAAAAAGTAGGCAATAGACATGAACACAAGCTTCTCAAAAGAAGATAGACAACTGGCCAATAAATATATGAAAAACTGCTCAATGTCACTAATCATCTTTAGGGAAATACAGATCAAAACCACAATGAGTTATCACCTTACTCATTTTAGAATAGCTTTTATTAGAGTCCCAAAACAATAGATGCTAGCATTGATGTAGATAGAAAGGAATACTTATACGCTGTTGGTGGGACTGCAAATTAGTACAACCTCTATGGAAAGAGCATGGAGAGTCCTCAAAGAACTAAATGTCAACCTACCATTTGGTACAGCAATCCCACTACTGGATATTTACACAAAGGGAAAGAAGTCATTTTTATCAAAGAAACACCTATATTCAAATGTTTGTTAGCAAAGATGTGGAATCAACACAGGAGCCCATCAATTCATGAGTGGATTAATAAAATGTGGTATATATATACCATGGAATACAACTCAGCCATGAAGAAGGACAACTTAATTATCACCTTTTGTGATAATTTGGATGGAACTGGAGACAATTTATCCTAAGTGAAGTATCTCAAGAATGGAAAAACAAACACCACATGTATTCACTATTATAATGGAACTAACTGATAAGCACACATATGCGTAGAGGGAAGTGAATCTCAAAGGAAATCATGCAGGGGTTGAAGAGGGTGGAGGGGATGGGCAAAAATCTACCTCACTGGTATAGTGAACACTATCTGGGTGACAGGCACACTTTAACCCTGACTCAAGCATTACAAAAATAATTCATGGGCCGGGCGCTGTGGCTCACGCCTGTAATCCTAGCTCTTGGGAGGCCGAGGCGGGCGGATTGCTCAAAGGTCAGGAGTTCAAAACCAGCCTGAGCAAGAGCGAGACCCCGTCTCTACTATAAATAGAAAGAAATTAATTGGCCAACTGATATATATATAAAAAATTAGCCGGGCATGGTGGCACATGCCTGTAGTCCCAGCTACGTGGGAGGCTGAGGCAGGAGGATTGCTTGAGCCCAGGAGTTTGAGGTTGCTGTGAGCTAGGCTGACGCCACGGCACTCACTCTAGCCTGGATAACAAAGCGAGACTCTGTCTCAAAAAAAAAAAAAAAAAAAAAAAAAAAAATAATTCATGTAACCAAAAACATTTTTATCCCTATAATACTTTGAAATAAAAAGAAAAAACAGGTACTATATCTTTTTATTAGATTTAACTACATGAAATTGCAAATACTCAATTATTTTTGACCTACAAAAATGGCATTTTCTTATGGCTCAATCTAATATACCAGTTTATTTAGAAGTATTGTTTTCAAGAAACATAATCTTAGAATTTAAAAAAAGAAAAAAGGAACTAAACAACAGAAGTTTTCAAACCCTCAGGGTTATGTATATTTGTGAAGACAGACCTGGAAATTGTTTTAAGTCTTCTTATTCTAGCGTGAAAAAAATGTGCCTACAGTTAACATATCAAATGCAAGTTTTGTGAATTGTATTTCCATTGTACAGAAAATGTTTTAATAAATCAACCAAATTTCTTAGCATCATATAGTTACAAAGGAACACAACTTCTGTTTATTGTCAAAAGTATAAGTTACCGGTGATTTTTACAAGTTGAACTACATTTCCCTAAATGCTTCTATGTACAAATATCATCAAAAATTTTCTGAGAATTATTTCTGTTATATATCCTGATATTTTAAAGGCCTTCTTCATTGATTCCACATGGGTATACACACATTAGATCCATAAATCATCTCAATCTACAGCACTTCAACGTAAGAGTTGAACGTATAGATCACAGACCCTTAAAAGTTGTCAACTCAGCCCTCGGAAGTTATTGGTTTCAATTTTACAGAGGATAAAATAGAGCCTAGTGGAGGTTAAATGAGAGACTTTCCCGAGGTCTATTCAAAGAAGAGTTCAGACTAAACTTGGTTTCCTGGCTTCTAGTCATTTGTACTCTTTGTTGTCTTGTAATATGCCTAATTTTCTCCTGCTATGTAATGCAGATTAATCTGATTTTCCTTTTTTTTTTTTTCAACTGAAGTTCTGAGTCAGCTAATCTTGATAATTATTGGGAAAGGAAGCAAAAGACTGAAATAACTCTGTAAGCAAAGAAGCTCCCTGGCTGTCAGGTGTGATTTTATTGGAAGCATGTCTCCTAACGCAGGGACTACACATCTGTTCTGTTTTCCTCATTCCTTTTAAATCCTGTGGCTCTCTTTTGTTTTGCTGGGATAGCTATAGACTATCTAATCAGCCTTATGGCCATTGCCTTTGTCTTACCCTTTCATATTAATATTTAGCTGTTTGGGAGTTTTGTCTAAATCCTTGTTTTAGACCTCTGACCTGCCTTCTGGTATCCACTTACATATTGATCCGTCCTGAGCTACATGAAAAATAATGTGAATTTCATCCAGAAAATCCTTAGTAATGTGTAGCATCTGTTTGGAACTCCAGATTCACCCTGTGGCCTTGGTGACAGAGTTTGAGATAACTGTCATATGGGTCTCAAAGGAAGCTTCCTAGGTACAAGTGAACCTTGTTGTATAAAATAGTTGTCTTCCAAACTGTGTTGTTATGCTGTTGTTTCCTGATTGCCCCTAATTGATACTGTAACTTTGGAAAAATAATTTTAATCTCTTAGTATACTCATATAAAAAATGAGGCGACAGGGCTGCTTGACCTCAGATGTTCCTTTCAGCTCTCAAATTACATAATTCTAGGAAATTCAGGATTTTTCCACATATGGGGTATACCCTAAGTATATTATAATGAATACCACACAGCGCTGTATAATTGTATATTCTCTTTCCCAGTCTTGGTCACAGTAAATGGGTCTCTCTTCTTATTGGAATAATGGTTTCCCCCTTGTGGGTCGAAATATAAAGTCACAGCAGCAGCCAGTATCTTTTCACACACACAGGGGGTAATTAAATACTATAAAATCCTCTGAGGGATTTAACTAGGGCGTTATCTAAGGAACAAAATGGAAAACTAGAGGTTCATGTGTGAATATGAGAGTTTAAAATACATTATATATATATATATCATTTTATCCATTTGTGAATATAAATATTAAAAGAATACATTAAGCATAGAAAAATGCTCAGTCCTATATTATTTATCTTGACACATTACTGAAGACACCATTCACCACCTCCATTACTTCACAATTTAAAATTTTCCTTTACCTTTCTCTGTCTTTTACCGACTGTTCAGCCATTAATTTCTTCAGTTCTTCTAGACGCTGGAGATCTCTCATTTCCATTTCCTGCCACTTCTGTTCTTTCTTAGCCCAGTATTTTCTTATCTATTGTATAAATGTTACATAAAATTTAAATTAACAGATATGTGAAAATGAGGGGGAAGGCTATAACATTATCCATTGGTTCATATGACAAAGATTGAATTTAAATGGAACTTCATATTTTTTGTTTCTTAGATATGCATATAATATATTGGCAACAGAAAAACAAATTAAAACATGAAGGTACATGTCCTGAGAAATTGCATGGTTTAACAATTCCTGAAGTGGAAATATAACTTGTGCTGAGACCTAAGATTTTAATCTATGGCTAAAATAATTGACTTTCAGGGAGCCACAGTAAAAGCATGTTATCGTCTCTAAAGTATGTGATCTACCTGTTACTCAAGTATATTTTTATCCTCTTATGGTAATGCATTCCTTAATAAATATAGCATTAAAACTATTTTTACTTTAAAAGCATGAGTTTATTTATGCTAATGGACAGCAGGATGTTGAAAGCTTTATGCTTCTGGGAAAGTGGCAGGAGATAGGTGGGAGGAAGGAGGAAAAGAGTAAATGAGCAGGGCTGTGGTATATAGTAGTTCTGACTTATGTGGTAAAATAAAGGTCAAGCATTTCAAGTGCAAAAAGGTGAAAGCATTGTTCTTACTAGGCCTGCTTTACTTCCTTATTCTGGAAATGGAGGCAGAATGAGAAAAACAGAAGTACACATGCGCTACTTTCAGGGGGCTGAAACCATTACCTAGGATTTCCCAATGTGATGGGACAATTGAAGTTAGCGTTTGACGGAGGCTCAGGCTACCACTTTAGCCTGCCGTGTGGTGTTTGGGTCAAGAGACTGGATCTTGCTGGTGAAAAACAGAGTACTTAAATGGTGAGCACTAGCGAGTAACTAGCAGCAGAGGGTCTGTTGTAGATGCTGGCTAGCCTCACCCCCAGAGTGGCAATGGGGGCAATGCTCTCCTCTTCTGAGAGCAATGGAGATGAAAAGCTAAGTGGTTTCCCGACTTGCCCTAGCAACATGGTCTCTGATTCCTGGGAGAACCAAAAACAGCAGCCCAAGCACCATGGCCACAGCCATAGCAACTCTGCAGACACAATAGCAACATCTGCTCAATGCTTAATGAATAACTGGACGAGCTCAATTTGCAGTGATATCCACTTCCAGGGTTGACCGCAATCTGAATTTAGGGAGAACAGAGATGAAGCTGGAAGGCACCAATACCAAAGATGGAGAGTGAGGGAGAGGGTAGGAGCAGGAGAGAAATGAAACTGACTGACAAGGAATATTATGGAGTCCTAAATGACAACTGCCGGGGAATTCTATTAACACCGGATTATGGAAATGTTAGCAATGACTATATCATATCCATCTGGGGATTATAAACAGTCTTCATTTTGGTCTTTATACTATTCTGTATCACCTTATTTTTGCAATGAATATGTATTTCTCTCATAATCAGAAAAAATAAAGCTACTTCAAAACTAAATTTTAGAAAAGAGCAGATGTTGAATTAAAGCACATTTTTCTCTGGGTTCCAACAGACCAATAATGTTTGCTTACTCCCAGCATTGGCCCTGGTGGGAAGTCAGTGGCCCTTTTGCAGACAATCCATGACCACAAGAAGAGAACCCCCAGGTTGTTGGTACCCTCAGATCTCTGACCCCACTTGTTGCACTGTCTTGTACAGGCCCTAGAAGTATGTAACATCCGGAGCCTTTTGGAATCTCCAGACCAATTATTTCCATCTTTGACTCTCTGGTACCCTTAGCCATTCCATGGTGTGTTCTCTCTCTCTCAACTTCTCATGATTCACTCTTTTGCTCCGTCCCAGTGCTTTCTGCTGGGCCCTCTGGAACCTCAGCATCATTGGACCTAAAATCCCCTGCATCTCCAATCTTCAGAAGACTACTTCCTTGTTTTCACTGAAATTTTCTTGAGTGAAGGATGCTCATATTCTGATGCCACATGTGTGCCATGGGACTGGGGAATGTCTGGGTATGTTTCTCATTGTTAACTGCTACTTTCAAGACCACTATCCTATCCTTCTCAGGTGCAATTCTTTTTCCTTTTGATGTTTCCACTATCTGGATACATCTCCTCTACCTGTCCTTATCACTGGCATGTGTGCATTTCCAGGTCACTCTAAAATACACATCAAGAATTCAGGTGTCCTAATCACAGCCTTCTCCAACATAGGCGCTTCCACCTTCCTAGCCAATTTTGGCATCTGAATGCCCTTTCAGTCTGTTATTCTCCCAATTCCATGACTTCCTCCATTCTAGGAAGCCACCTCCTCCTCCAGGATTCTATTATCATTGAAAACAGTTCCAGCTCTGAAATCTTGAATTATAGCGATAGACTCTGTGACCAGAACCAGCACCTCCCCCTTCCCATTATTCTCTGAGCTGTGTCCATATAATGTTATTCCCCTGGCATAGCCCTCATCACAATGCTTCACTAATTAGTACACTTTTCTTCTCTCCCACTAGGCTGCAGAAATTGTGATTTATTCAACTAAAGTGTCCAGAACATAGCATGTACTTATAACCATTTGATTGACAACACAATTGTAGGAACTGATACCAAGTGTTTAATTTCAATGAACCCTTCAATGATGATCAGCATTTCTTTTATGAATTCTTGGTCAATGGCTCAATTTCTCATAATGGTATTCCAAAACCTGTTTACTGTGTTCAGCTCCACACCTGCCTCCTCACTTTCATCAAAGGGAATAGGAGCTCTAAAAGGTACCTTTCTTGCTGTGCTGCCCATCAGAGGAAAAGGTGTCCTTCCTTCTGTTTGAGGCTAATCCCTCAGCTGGGGTGCAGATACCATTCCCAATTCCACCTTCTCTGTAACCCTATTCTGTATCTACCTCCTTTTCCCCTTGTTTAACCTCTTGGTCTTTACAGCTCCTTTTCTTCACATGGAATTAAACACAAATCTCTCTGATAAAAAACTGTCCTACTTTCTTTAGACCCCCAAGACTGTAGCCCTTCATGCACCACACCCTTTATTGTTCCTTTTTAGCCAAGCATCTTAGAATACTTGTTTTTTTCCATCTTTGCACCCTTGCATCTTTCCATCTTTGCATCCAAAATAGGAGAGTAAAATCTCCTATTTTACTTTGAGGTATTTCTACCTCTACCTTCTACTCCAAATTCACTGTTCTCATCAGTGATGTCTCTGTGTATTTGATTCTATTAATCCTTATCTGTAGCATTACAACACTACTGACTTTGGTATTCACTTGTTCAACGAATATATCAGCACATGCTTGAAGCCAGAGACTGTGCTAGGTACTTGGGATATGGTGCTTAAAGAGAAATAGGCCCCTGCCGCAAGGACCTAGGACTTTCCAGAACAGAAGAGAGACAATAAAGAATAAATGATGAGTAGGATATTACATGTTGATTAACTTCTAAGAAAGAAATAAGTAGAGTGATGATATAGAAAAATTGGGGTAGAGTTATTAGAAGGTATATTTAAAATGTCTTAAATAGAATATTTGGATGAAATGACATTTGGATGAAAATATGCAAGATGGGAGTAAAATACGCATGGGCAGAGATGGAGGGGAGTACTTCAAGAAGCGGGAGTGGTAGGAGCAACAGCACTGGTTGGGAAAGATCTTGCATGTGTGGGAAATTGGGAAGAGGGAGGCCAGTGCAGCTGGAGTAGGTGATGTGAGTTAAGACTCGAAGTGAGATTGGAGAGCTGCATGGGGCTAGATGATTAGGGCAGGATTTAGTTCCAGAAACTAAGAAGAACCATTGAAGAGATTAAAGAAAGTAGTGACATGGTCTGATTTACATTTTAAAAATAGAGCTCTGGCCAGGCATGTTGGTTCATACCTGTAATCCTAGCACTCTGGGAGGCCAAGATGGGAAGATTGCTGGAGGTCAGGAGTTTGAGACCAATCTCAGCAACAGTGAGACCCCGTCTCTACTAAAAATGGAAAGAAATTAGACAACCTATAATAGAACAAATTAGCTGGGCATGGTGGCGCATGCCTGTAGTCCCAGCTACTCGGGAGGCTGAGGCAGGAGGATCGCTTGAGTCCAGGAGTTTGAGGTTGCTGTGAGCTAGGCTGATGCCACGGTACTCTAGCCTGGACTGAGCAAAACTCTGCCTCAAAAAATAAAAATAAATAAAAACAAAGCTCTGGCTATCATGTGGAGCAAGATACTAGAGGAGCTAAGGAGAAAAAAGGAGGCAAGATAGAAGGATAAGACCAAGGTAAGCAGCCAGACTCAGGATACAGAGTCAAGTGTTTTGATCTGAAATGTGCTTTTGAGTGGAATCAGAGTGCTTATTGAGGGATTCAGTGTGAAAATTGGAGGAAAGAGGAATCAAGCACAATACCTAAGTTTTTGCTTCAGCAACTGGTTGGAGAGTGGTACCAATAACTGATATAGGAGTTTGGTAGAATAACAGGTTTGGGAAAGGAAGACAATCAAGAGCTCAGTTTTGAACATGTCACACTTGATATGCCTATAAAACCTCTAAGTAGAGAGGACACACAAACATCTGGAGGCACAAATGGTGGCTCAGGGAAAAATTCAGTGCTGGTGGCCTAAATTAAGGAGATGTCCACTTAAATGGTATTTGATCCCACAGGACTGGATGACATTCCTAGGACAAGAATGTAAACAGAAGAGAGATGGTGGCCATGACCTTTCAAGTTTATCTGCTTTTTGCACATTTTTCTCTGCTAGCATGACTTAATTTCCCTCCTCCACCTGTCAATCTTATCTTATTTTTAAACCAGAACACATGCCACTTCCTCCTTTTTCTGAATCCTCCAGGAAAAGCATTAGCTCCATCCTTGGCACACCAGTGACCCTTTGCTCATGGTTTATCACACTCCTTTCTTTGCCCTGCCTTGCATTCATTGATTCTTTTTCTTGAGACTCTGCCCCTGGATTGTTACCAATATATTGGGCATTTACTACATGCCTGAAATGCTCTGCCCTGCTTGTTGCCTGGTAAATCCCTCCTGTTCATCCTGTAAGATCCAATTTTAGCATTGCCTTCT